CAAAGATATTGCTGAAGGCACCTGGAGGAGCTGCAAAATGGCCAAAGTATCTCCAGTCGTTTTGGACCTCTATTCAGAGGACACAGCCATTTCTGGAGCCCAGATTCAGGGTGGTGTTCAGCAAAGCAGTGCTCCAATTGACAAAGGAGGGTACGGAAATCCAGCACTCCACCAGCGAGTCCTTCCCTTGGCATCCCTTGCAACAGCGTACGTACTCAACCTGCATCACTTAAAGCCACTGCAGCCCCAAAGCTGAGGAGGTGCACACAACTCCTCCTCTCCTGAGCCCAACACACCCAAAAAAGGGGAACAGTGCCCACGACGTCCTTAAAAACGTGGTGTGGAGCGTTAAGCAAGACGCCTCTGTGGCATCATTCAGCCTTTACTGACCAAACACCTCGATGGCACACGAGCACCACCAGCAGAAACACCCCGCAGGCAGGACGTGATGAAATCCAGCTTTTTTGTTCTTTTGTTCTCAGTTTTGCTGTCTGCATGTATGTTCTAATAGGAAAAAAGTGGCATTTTCTCTTTTTAACTCCCTGCCTATTTGAACATGGACTTTTTTTGGTTAGCAGTTGGCACTAGGCATCAACCAGACAAGAGCTGTCCGTAGTTTCTTCCCTTCACAGAGAGTGGCTATGCAAATACTGAAAGAGTAGTGTGAAGATACAAAACACTCTTCTAAACAACTGCAATAGCTTGAGGTGCTCGATGACCCCATCGGAAAAGCCAGCCCGGTATCAGTCACAAACGCTTTTGCAATCTGAAGAAATGCCAGTGCTGCAGCAGCAGGGATGCTACTCCAGCATCCAACGGAGCGTCAACAAGATCCACGGTCTGCACTACGATCAACAGTAGATCGTGTAGTAAATAGAGACATGGTATTTTGGTCACGTAACAGTAAATGTTAAAATGGTTGTGTCGCATTTCTTAGGCTGAGGAACTTCAAGGTGAATCTACCCATGAAGGCTGACAGATGACTTAGCAACTGCCTCCTCATGCAAGAGTCTGTCCCTACAAGAATCTTAAGATCAAGCAAGTAAAATCGGGAGCTTGGACAAGCTCAAACCAGAGGGCACACATCCCCAGAACCACAGCTAGCCACAGCACATACTTCAGTGAGTTATTTTAAGTTCAGATCACATCTTCAAAACCTGATTTTGACACTTCAGTGATCAGGAAAACCCACACAATTTCACTGAACCACAAAACACATGCCTGGATCTGCCACCAGTGGCAGAAGTTTCTCCAGGCTTCACAAGCCAGGCTCTAGCAGAGTGATGCAACCTCTGTCCTTAAAACCCAGGAGTTTTACAGGAATCTTGTTTTAAGAATGAAATTAGGAAGGCAAATTTGTTAGAACAGCGGAATAAACTTGTTTCCCTCCTACTGGGGAAATTGAGAGGGGAAGAGATGGAACCAGAAATGCATCTGGAGGCACATCAATGCCTGCCTCTGCCTTCAGACACACCCTGTGCCAGGCACTTTCTTCTCCAGCACTTCCTAGCTTCTCCCCTTCCCATGCTGATGCATTTTCTCTGTCTGGACTGTTCAAATTCACCAAAAGCTCCTTCCTTGGCATTAATGCGAAAGCAGCACTCCCTCAACACAGTAAACACGCAGCTTCTACACCAAGCTTGCTGCTGCTGCCCAGAAGTATGACAGCAGCTTTCAGGAGAACGTCACAGGTGCAGCACCCATGTGTTGTTCCCTTCCAGTGCAACCCTCCCAGACTTACCTGAAACTCAACTGCTGGCCTGCTGCTCCATGGGCAAAACAAATTTCCACTTGAAAATTGTACAGACATGACATTTTTCTCTATGCAGTTTGCACTGTACAGCTGACAGCACTTGTCCTCATTCACCTGGTCTTAGGAACTGCTCAGGGAAGCTACGCCTTCAGGTCTTTGCACTCCTGGAACGAGCGTCCTGGCTTCGCCCTTGTCTCCTGGCATGGAAATCTCACCCACGCACTTCCAGACAGTGTTGTGCTCCTCTGGTTAGAGCAGCTTCCCACCCGCAACACTTGTCGTTTGGGATATGAATCAGAGGGATAAGCCAGCTGTCTCTCTCACTAACATGGCCAAGCGCTCCGCAGCAGCCCTGGTGGGCTATTCGTCAAAACAGGAACAAAAATTAGGGTCAGATTACAAATACTAGGTCCTAACATTATATATATATATATACACACATACACACACATATATGTATATAAAATCTCCAAAGGTCCCTTCCAACCCCAACGATTCTGTGATTTGGGAACAAAAAGTACAAGCTCCTCACTAAAACAATACCCAACATAATACGTAACAGTTTACCTATTAAGAATATTTCTACAAGACACATCTGGAAAAGAATCATTTCCACAATTTTGGAACAGTTAAGATCCAAATTCCTGTCAAACTACAGCACCTGCATTTCAATGCTATATGAAGAAAAAGTCCAAAATTATTTTTTGAATAATCATTAATTGAAACAAAGACTTTACTAGGACTTAACCAACAAAAACCTATTTATTTATTCCAAACACCAAGATACAGAAGTTTTCAAGTTTTGCAAATATTGCTCCAAAGCAAAACTCTATATACAGCGCCCTCGGTTCTAATAGTGCATAAACAAAGACAAAGATACTCATGTAACCACAGTGCAATGTTTGCTCATTTCATCAAGGCTCCACGTTGCGTTCACTTACCAGTGATTTAAAGAAATAAAAAAAGTGACTTGCCAGACCGAACAGCTGGTCCAGACTAAGAAAGAACAATGTGGAAACTTGCAAAAACAGGGACAAAAAATGAATCCAGGCAGAACACCATAACAAATCTTTCTGGAACACGAGAAATGCTACTCTATTTTAAATAAATATTTCAGTCTTCACCAGCAAGGGCTTCCCTAGCTCTACTAAAGGAAAACAAGTCTCCAGTATTTGCCATTTGATTCCCCCATCAGAACCACTTTTTCTTCCAAATCTTAAGTACTGCCCTGAGGAAAAATAAACTGGCAAAGTAAAAACGTACACTGAACACACAAAAAGCAATTGCGAGGGAAGGAGAAGTTCCACTCTGGAGTGAAAAGTCCACTCAGGGATTGAACTGCTTTCAAGCCCTCAAACTATAAGCACAGCTGACTTGTTAACAACGCAGCCATGTTCGAGAGCTGCCCGGTCGGAGTGCTTGCTTTACCGATCTCAGCCAGGGAACGCCTTTCTGGTCGATCTCACCTGAAGAAACCCCAAAGCCTCCACAGTTGGCTGGGGTGCTCCCGGTGATGCTGTTCTGGCTGGCTGGTTACTGCCGCCTGTTCTAGAGCTACCCACTAGACGTGACTTCAGGTGTCATTAACAGGAATGAGACAAGGGATAAGCGTTGGTCTCATCTTCAGAGAGCAAAGTGATTCTTAAATATCATGTAAGCTTTATTCCAATTGACTTACAGAAAAATAAGTTTATTTTTCTGCTGTACATATGTTGTATTCACCATATACCAACTAGTACTATAAAACTGAGACAAATTATCCCCTGAAATGAGTCTTGGCATAAAAGCCATAGTTACTACCTAGAGCAGCCCAATTATTCTATTTTCTGAAGGAAATAAAATATTCATTTTGTAGATACCATTAACTCCTACAATAATATTGGGATATTTCAAGTTTACATTATTCTTTGCAGTATACAAACATTACAGATTCATATCCAAAATTAGTAATTTGTACAGTTACGGGCCTTTCAGTTACAACTGTGCTTAAATTTTACCCTTTGGTGGTACCAACACACACAATAAAATCAAGGTAACAGATCCAGCTTTTTAAGGACACCCTTTCACTGCAAAAACAGCTTGCCATTTTCCACAGTGAACTTAACTCAGCAACACTTGGGAAGGAAAATTAAAGTCACAGCCATTATTTATGGAGCTATGATCTGCAGCTGAAAGATTTTTTAACATCTCAAATACTTACAATACACCAACGTTTCAAAAGGTACGGTATAATGTGACTTGAACATAAGCAGCATTTTCACCTTGCTCTCACAAAGTAATACAACCCAGAAAACTAAAATTTAAGGTATAAAAAGGGACCTTGTGAACATACACCATTTAAGATAATGCACTCACTGTCTGCGAGGACAGTACCTCATGCATAGATCTCGAGGCTTTATTTACACAAATATAAAATAAACTGATTCCCAAAACCACACATTCAGAGAGTAAGTCTTTACAATGAACACGTTCAGAGTATTGAAAAAAGTCTACATTTCAAAATATAACCGGAATGGCAATTATTAACAAATGGGTAGAAAAACTACATAACGTCCATCACAGACCTTGTGGAAGTCTGGAACTGCGAGTGCATCTCCAGTCTTTTCCGGGCGGTATTTCATACTGCCGCAACGAGGGTGTCCCACTAGCGCTGCTTCGGGAGGCACAGTATGGCCATGTTTAAGAGCTCAGGAACGCACATAAACACAACGTTAACGGGTTTCCCCAGTACCAAGTCATGTGATAGTGTCAGGATAAATATGGAAAACAATCATTTATTCTGAAAATAAGTGCAATCCACCTGTGACCTTCTGCTACATTATTTAACGTAATAGAAGTGGGGTTTAGGCCACTGTTACTTGCAAACCTCCACATAACACTTTATAGTTAAGAGCTGGACATTCATACTTACTAAGTCTGAAAACTGTTATAACATTTCCTAATGATTAAATACTGTGTGCTATTATGCATAAACCAGAAGGAATGAAACATGACACAAGTCACTTAAACTATGCGAAGTTATTTACAACCTCTGTCAACTAAACATTTTTGGCTCTCGGAACTCTGTTCTTCAGTGGCACAATTTTTAGTCAATTTAAATACGAAAAAGTCTACCGTTTCAATGGGCAACTTGTAAGGAGTGAAAATAAGTATAATTTATCAACCGACACCCAACCTCTGAAGACAACAGTATGACCTCTTTCATATCGTTGTAATTGCCTAATGAACCCAAAATGATGATGAGATAAAATAACCTTTTTGCGGTTCTTTGAACAGCACTTCTTCACAAATCCCTGAAGTCAATCTGCATCACATGCAACCAGCATGCCAATTTCATTTCAATATACAGAGCTGTTCACATCAGATGCTCCAACTCTGCACTCAGTAACAGTCTCCAACATTTCCAAGTCTCACGTTGAGCAGCAAAGTGCAATCTGTTGCACTTTGCCTAGGTCCGTTATAAGCTGCTTTATACAATGTTTGAGTTGTGGGAGTCGAGCTAGTGGTTCTGGTGGTTCCAGTTCTCCTGTATAATCCAGCCAACTCTCCAAAACTGCAAAGAAAGACAAAACTGTCACTATTCCAGTTCTCAGCAAACAGATCACCTTAAGTCACAAACCAGGAATTCTTAAAATCTCTTCTGAATCTTGAGAGAGTGGCGGGCAACATTTTTAACATGTGGTATTTGAGAAATTAGAAAACAATGCTCCTCACACCAATCCTTGCAAATAACATTTGAGACATAACAAAATAATTCACTTTAGGGGAATGGAGGTGGCGGAGAAAGAAAGGAAAAAGCAAGCGGACATTCCTAGGAGAAAGCAGGGAAGGAAAACTCAGGACCAGAGATTGTGAAATCTGGTGCAAAGCTTCATCTGATCTGTGTCCATTCCAAATCAAGGACACTGCAGTACAGGAAGCTTTTTATACCATCAGAGTACCTTTAAGATTCGCATTAGATGCCACTGAAGATCCTTAAAGGATAGGACTATACTAATGAAAGGAGTTTGTTGTCAATACAGAATGCAGTTGGCCAAGACAGAAAGAACTGGGTAACAGAAAATGGGGATGATATCCAAAAGCACAAACAGCAGACTACTGCACAAAGCAAATTAATTCCTGCTCTAAAGCTTCTAACCAGAAATACTACTGACCAAAAGACGACTCGGGTGACAAAGCAGTACAACCACAGGAAAGCTGGTCAGATCAAACTACGGTGAGTTCAGGGGATGGGACAGTATCACAGAAGGAGACTGAAACCTTGAAGACAGAACACATCTGCCAAAAGGAGCAGCAGTGGCCACTGCCACTAACTAGATCAATTGGGCTAGTTTAACCTAAGGGCAAGATCTGCTGAAGAACTGGTGGCCATTACCCAACTATTGACACATTCAGCCCCGAAATGAGAAAATTCCTGATCAGAGTAGCAATGCTCTGAGCAGCCCTCCAGCTCAGCAGCAGATGCAAAAAGCTTGACTTCTGTGAACCAAAGCTTCTTCATTTATGAAACAGGCATTACAGTTACAGGCCTGATTGGTCCTCATTATCTGAAATATTCCTTTAGTTGTTCAACTTTTCAGTACCTTACTGAACTACAAAGAGACAACTCTTACTTTGACAAAGGTTAGATTCCCAACACCCTCACAAGAAAAGCTGCTGTTGTAACCACTACACAACCAGCAGTCAGACTTAAAGATGTTAAGAAAAAGAACTATCCTGGATTGTTTAATGTACACATAAAGGGTTTAGGAGTTTTCCATTACTAGGAAAACAAACTTCAAGAGACATTTAAGTAAAGAATTTGGAGAAGACATAAAAAGGTATCAGCCCTGTGCACCAAAGAGGCCACCCAGAATAGGTTAACATGGCCAGTGAGCCCCTGAAGAACAGGGAAGTTCAAATACACAGAAGAGCTATGGAAAATGACAAAAACTTGAAAGACAGAGACATGGAAGATATTCCACTACATCATCTGATTCAAGTATTTAGAGGTGATCTTACTAGAACTTTTTCTATAAAATTCTGCTCAGTTTTCATTTGATCTTTGTTTTGAAATCTGCGCCCCCCCAACATCAGCAGCATGTCTATTTTCTATTAGTAAATGCAGGTAATCTGACAAAGCAACGCTCATCTCTTTGTACATCTGCAGAAGTAAAATTCAAGCTAACGTGTTTTGAACAGGTAGTTCAGTTAAATGCAGCTAATTTTTGAAATAGAAAAATGTTACCTACCATCCAGCTCCTTCTCGATGAAATCCATTCTGTGTATGACTTCATCTTGCAGAGACTCCACATGAGCTAAAAGATTAAGCTGCCACTGCAGCTGCGAGTTCACAACTCCTTCTTTGTCTTTTTCCAGCAATTTCATTTCAATAGCTTCCTCTGGAGAGACTTTCTTAGAGACAGACTCTCTTACCTAGCAGAAAGACACACATTAATATTTGTCACAGCGAAATAGAATTGGTGACACAGACTGTCTGAGTCCTTACAGTTACCCAAGCTAATTACTCAACTAATCTTAGGCTAGTGGAAGAGAGAGACACAGAGAGGAGATCATACACAAATATTAAGGCAGTTTGGGCAAGAGGATCTAAATATAGACATACTTTCATAGTTATTTAGCTATGACCTATTCTTTACACTTCACAAGTATCTAATTTTCAAAAGATAACATACACACACACAGCTAGCTCCCTGCCAACTTCCAGCTGGAAGATACTGCACTTGATCTGTGTATCCTAGGGAACACTAAAGCCATTTTTAACATGACAGTAATCAACCAGAGAGCAAATGATTTTGCAGTGAGAAGGGATTTTTTTCCTGCAGAAATCTGATGTCAATTCTACTAAAACTTTCATCAAAGCACCTAGGAAAAAAACCCCACTACCACCACTCACAAAACCAAACTACACAGTCAGCGGTGTTGATTCTAGTCCCCTACTTTTTTCATCATTCTGCTGAAACATGACAGGATTTAGAAAAAGGCTCCTGAAAGAGAGAACTGAAATATATGCCTTTCTGGGAAACATAAAGCAGTCTCAATTGATTTGGTAGAGCAGTTAAAAAGAACATAAATTACAGCTTACATATGCATGAAATAAAAGCTAAAATACCTTTTAATGTAAAAACAGGAGGTCAGTATTTCCCAGAGGCTTTCTAACATTTGTCAGACTGTATTTCATATGACTTGGCACTAATTAATTAAAGCAGAATTTTTGCATTGGGGTGTAGAAAGGCAGGCCTCTGGTAGCCCTGACAGAGCTGAAAATGAGAACTAAGAGTTGAAAAGATAAAACTAGAGTGCTCCAGTAGGAAGAAGATACAGTACTATTTAATGGTGATGATTCTTAAGAAACAGTTCAGTCTGCTACTTTTATTTCCACCATGAAATGCTACCTGAAGAACCTGGAATTAATTTAGTTAATGTAACCATTAAAAAAAACCATGAGAACAAGAGTGAAATAACTAAAAGCTGGAATACCAGTGTATTTAGTAGTATCATACACACTTGCCCTGTTCTCTATGCTGTTGCTAGTGTCTACTTTTACATTTAACACACGTAAAAGTATGAAGCAACAAACTGCCAGCGGATCGTAACGCATGTTCCACAGACTGCACAGATGATTTAACAACCAGAAGTCCTCCTCAACCTAGATTTTTTTTTTTTAAAATTATTATTTGAAATGGAGGAGTTGGATCACATCTATCATTTTAATTCACATTGGCAACTTAAATTTAACAGCATAGGAAAGAAACTAAACACAAACCAACAAACTAAATACTACTAGAAAGGGTTGAATTTTGCACTTCGCCAGGCAAACACACTGTCTAGGCAGAGACAGTTATTTTAATACTAATACCTTAGAGTAATTGTGTTTGGATTCATTTTCCATCTTGCATATTTCTCGGTCCAGATTCCAGCCAAATCTCTCTGACAGGGCATCATCCCCATTTTCCCTTATTCGGTTTACTCCATCATCCATGGCTGAACCTCTTGTTTCCACAACCAACCTCTGCTCTATCGCAGGGTAGTAGGCCCGAGGCTTCTGGTAACAGTGTTCACTCGTAATGTAAGATTCCTCCACAGAAGGAATCGTTGAGGGTTTCTCAACCGTCCCATTCCAAGTTCTGTAACCTGCCGTCTCCTCTTTGCAACAGTTTTCCTCAATGTGAATGATGCGTTTTGTATGAATTTTTTCATCCACCGTAATGTGCTTCCACGGATGGCACCAAAGCTTTAGGTCAGGATGCTCTTTATTTCTGTTAAAAACATAAAAAACAGTAACACACCCAAATTTAAATGTCAAAGTGACTGAGCAAACTATCCTATTACATACATAAATCAATTAAGAATACTTGAACTACTACATGCTTTAGTCATTGTAATCATCAAAAAATATTCTGGAATACTATAATTTCACTGACCTCAATTGTGTATCTTCCTACAATGTTCTGTTAGGTTCACTATTTTCCTTTCTATAACATGGTATATATGTCAAGTGTTGGCATTAAGAAAAAAACTGCATAAGGTTCAAATAGATACATACAACATTTCCCCAATGTTGCCCTTGAAGGAGCATTTTGCTCCAATATTTGCTATCTATTAACAGCATAAACTGATTTTCACTGGGATATTTTTACTAAGGTGAGTCAAGCACACTGAAGCTAAATCAAGATTTTAACAATTTTAAACACCAGTAAAACAAAAAGACCCCCTCAAACCAGTCTGTATCGAACTTTAGCCTGTAGTTCCCCAAAAATAAACTTTAAAATTCAATCCACTGATTTTTCTATAACCCTCTAACAACCACAACAATCGGGCACCTGGTGGGGTGGTGGTGGTGCAGAACTTCTTTATTATTTCTTCCAAAATTTTAACTTTCCTTTAAATCCCAAGATGCCGAACAAACTCTACTCCCTGGTGCACCAACATGCCATAGCTCCCCCACCTGCTTCTTACCAAAATTCTTATTTTAATTGTTTTCAAATTGACTAATATGTTTCTTATTCCAGCAGCAGGGACAACTATAGGCATCAGATTCACAAAGAAAAAATTTAGAGTGAGCATTGTAACCGATATTGTTCTTCCACATGTCTGTCAGGATTAAAACAGCAGTAGAAGGAGAGCAAAGCAGAATCACTACGCTTATCTTCAAAGGGTAGGCAGCTTATCTGCTACAGGCTGCAAGAGCGCAGCAAAAGCAAATCCTGACCCTACAGCACCTGCAGAAGGGAGAGGGTCTGCCCTAAACCCCCCCTCTGTGCTTCCTTGCAAACAAAGGCAGATGGACTTATTCCATTAAGCTGATCCAGCTTTTCCAGCTGTTAGTCAAACCACTCAACAAAACATGACCATTTTACTTCCAAAGCAACCACTTCTAATCCGTTTTACAGTAGCTAAGGTTTCTTCAGTGTCTACCAGAGGAAACTACGGTTAGTGCAACTGCCAAGGACTTGCTCAGACCACCTCATACAAGCACCTCTGCCTCCAGTGACTGCACGCCTGTGATACCCTCGGTGAGCAATCCTGAAGGCACGCCTAGAGAAGTGACAGTCAAATGACAGAGTTCATTTACCAAAGCCTTCTGCTCCAGCTGCACTGATATGCTACACCTGAAGGCACTATTTTGCTCAGCAAAGAGCAAGGGGTAACTTTACAGAAGACAGAAAATTGAAAGATGATGCACCAGCTACATAAGGATGACAATTTGAACGCTTAATACTTGAGCAACCTTTTAACTATTGCCTTCTGAAGGTCGGCTCTCCCTCACGTTGCATCAAGGCTGTCAATGTCACCTCTGATCCTCTGCCACCTCCTTGAAATACTGAGCAATGCTCTCCTAGTAATTTTAGGCAGCTGTGAAATCATCTCCTCTCCCCTAGATGGTAGATCTGCATCAACAATATAATCATTCTTCTAATTCAGCAATTTTTAAAATTCTGACTTATGTAATGGTAAAGGAGACGGGCTACAGCTTTTAAGATGATGGTCCTAACAGGACCACACCTCATCTTTAATTAAACCAGGTCATCACATGAACTTCAGGATGGGAGAGAAAAAGAACAAAGTCTTTAACAAGCATCACATACTTGCCCAGTGCTCCATACCTTAGTACTATGCAAATCTCAATTTACTCTACGATTAGAAAGTCACAATTTAAAGTCTTGCTATTTAAGAAAAAACCTTAGGAGTGGACTTACAAATATTTAGGTTCCACCCTCTCCAAAGAGGAAAGAGATTACTTACAGATCTGACTAAAGGATACCATAATGAAAAATCAAAACCTTATGTTAAAAACGCTACTCTTTTGCTTTAAGCATTATTCCACTGTTTAAGTAGTTCAAGTACTGCCAGTGGCCCTACTGCACCACTGCAGACTAAATTTAAGGGAAAAAGTTCTAAAGAACACTGGAAACACTAAAAGCTTTGCTTTCCAAATAGCTGCTGCTGTGCAATTTATCAACTAATAAGTTACAAATATGGAATTCAATCAATTTAAAGCTGCTGGATTTGAGTTAAACATTTTTTTCAGTCATCAGAACCCAAGGAGGACATTAAACATTAAAAGATGCAGAAAACTTCATTTCTACAGTGATTACAGAATGTTTTTTAATATGTATCTGTAATCATCTTTGCATAGAAATAAATGGCTACTGGTTGCTAAAGGTGCAACTGCTCTTCCACTACAACAGGGCAGCACATTATGCCGAACTAAAAGCTGGAAAAGCTATGATTTCGAATTACTTATAAGAATGCTGCCATAGGTTATATGCCTATCCTCCTCTTGTTACTTAAATCTATTTAGGTGCTTTAGGAGAAGCTGCTGTTACTAGTTTTCTCCCCTTTCCTTCATATTTTCCCAACCCTTCTGTACACAGTCAATTTACACTCCTCAACACACTTAAATAGCTTTTAAGCAGCCAAGTCCTTTTCCAAGATCACATTACCAATTCAAACTATGTTGTTATATATGCACAAAGAAGCACAAAAATAAGTCTGAATTTCTGGTTGTTTTTCTACTAGTTGAAATCTAATTGACATTGAGAACATGCCAATTAATACTTAAATACTGCTTACTGTAATATGCTCATCTTCAGCTGCAGTCCATGCAGTACTTCTATCACTCTCTGTACATCGCCAAGAAGTTGGTGAGTGGCTACTATCTTCTTGGCATTCTGGTGGGAATAATTTTCTTCCAAAAATGCTAAGCCATGCATGTGACCGTTACTTAACCACTCCTTCTCATACCAGTACTTTAAGCTGGACCTCTGACCTAAAGCAACAGTAATGAGCATGTTAAAATGAAGCATTAACTATAGTATGTTAACATTACTGCTAGTAATTCTGATATCTCAATGTCTTTCAACAGCTTATTTGTTCTTATCAATAGTACCAATAAAGATCCTATAACAGCAGACAAAACCCTGAAGACATGAAGAACTTGTAAAGTGGGAAGTGAGATGATAACCTCAGTCAAAAACCTCTGCCCAACTGTAAAAGCATTCAGATCCCAAATTCCATCAAAGGACATCCACAACAGGTAATTGCAGCTGACGCACAGAGAAAAGTGTATTTTCAACAGGGCATCACACTGTCTAGTAACTACGGTTATAACTAAAGCTCCAGTTTGACTACAGCTCTGTGCAGACAGAAAAATGCAGCAAAAGGTAGTGAACTTCCCTTCTCCAGTGGTCTTGTTTTTAAGCATTATACATGTATTAGTACAGTCATTAAAAGTAAATTTTAAAGTAATCAATGATGAGGTTCTGATGGAGAACTTGCCTAAGTCAGGCTATTAATAATGCAAATTCTAGCTTAAGAGGTTGGAATATCAACAACAGCTGAAATGAAATTATGCTAAATGTGATACTAGCATCAGTAAAAGTAACTTAAGAAGCCAAACAAAATGGTATTAGCAGGAAAGAACTTGAGATGCTTGCTAAATTGCAAAAACACAAACAAAAAAATCCAAGCCAAAAACCCAACAAAAGCCCACACATCCCCTGTGAAGTGTATTGTTACAGCAGATGTGCTCAGAAGACAGTTCAGCACCCTGAGAAACACCACATTAGTCACTGGCCTATACACAGCCCAGGCAGCAAACCTACAAAATTAGAGATAATATTGGAGTAGAGACTCAGAGCAATAATCACAAAAAAGCCTCCAATATAAGCAGGTTAATATTGACTAGAAGTTTCAGTAGTTAAGGAGAAGTTAAAAAAAAAAATTAAAGAGTTACTAGGCAGCAGAGTAAGAACAAGGGATTTCACTACATGCATATTAGGTAGCACCGCTGCCCATGCTATTAACTTATGCACAATGAAGCAAAACAACTCTTCTGAAGTCGTATTGAGAAACGAGCAGAACATGAGTTTATATGCTTTTGGACGGTAGTTATAGAATGGTAGCAAAATGGTTTCTATATCATGCCCTATACAAACATCCGTGGACATAAAGGACACTTTACATTCAATACCAACGCTCTGTCTCGGTAAAGGAGTAAAAGCAAACGAGTGCACTTGTAAGCACTCTCAGCCACCAGGCTGTACAGAACAATACTCCATGTTTTGAGACAAGACCTCCAAAAACTCTCAAACAGAAACCAATACAGGAAAGAACAAATTTTCAAGGCTGTAACAGCTCAACTTCTCAGACAGATATGTTGTATCAAGCAAGAGATCTTATAGGTATGGCCAGAAAGACTCTGGAGACATTCCTGACATACCTGTATTAACCCCCATGCATTTATTTTTATGTTAGAGAAGCTACCATCTGTGACAGAAAATGAAGTTCAGTCTACAAGAATAAAATCGTGAATTTTAGAAGTGCATGGTCATCTGAACAACACTGAGATTATCCAATTCAAGCCCATACATAGCACTGTTTACTTAGCAGTGTACTCAGACAAAAAGTGCTCTCTTTCTAGGTGTATAAGCTTCAGAGAAGATACAAGACAATATTCAATAGTGTATGCTTTCTATGGCTTGAATGATTCTGTCATATCATAAGCATCTTGATGATGTTTAAGCAAGGGTGAATGTTAAGAAATCTCCTAAAAATCCCACTTGACTCAAAAAAACCTGCCTAAATCAACAGCTGGTACAGTTTTTAGGCAGAATTACACTGAACTTGCCTTTATTTCCAATAATATGAATGGTGCTGTTACAAGTCCCAGCATTAAACCGGGGAAAGCTCCTAAATAAGAGTTTGCTGAATGGCTCTGCCCAATTTTAAAAGCAACTTCTTTGCAGATTTATAAAGCCCATTTAGCTCAAGCCAACAGCAGATTCACTGAAACTGAGAAGCCAGTTTTGCAGTCAAAAAGTTGGGTATATTTTCCTTTTCCAAGACAGAGGTAAAAACTAAGCCCAAATTAAAAAAAAAGTAAGTTTCAGGATCTGCAAAGCAATATTTAATAAAAGTGATTAAACTAATCAAGCAAATAAAGTATTAGTTGTAATCAGTTTTTACCAAAAAGCATTCTGATAAAGTTTCTCACTAAATACAAATAGTTCAAGTGTGACGGCACAACTTCAGTTTGCATTTAAACTTAAAAGTGCACAGCTAACTCAAATTGACACCAATCAAAGCAAAATATCTTGGAAATAGAGGGTTAAAATCCTGGGTGCAAGATACTGTAAAAAAACTTAAATCAAAGTTAAACTATTTTACTACTTAGGTAACTGAATATAAGCATAGTGTCTTCCTTGCTATGAGTACAAACAACATTAGTATACAAACTACACAAATCAATGAGTTAACCTATGAAATAGTTGGTAGTTTTAAACAGCCAAAAAAAGAAAAGGTAATAATCCAAATATATGTATGTAAACCAAGAAGGTCTTATGATTAAGCAAACAGAGACTTCATTTTCTCATAATTTATGAACATGGACTCAAGTTCAAACCTTATCCGTTTCCATTATATATTCTGAATTATATTCTATAATTCAGAGTAGGAAGTCAAAAAAGATTCACATAAGTCTAATTTTAGCTGCTGCATAAGATGGAGTAAGACATTTTAAAATACATAGCCAGGAATAGAGAACGTATTGCTTAATCAATCCTGACTGCATTACCCAAGATAAATACAAATATAAATTATCTTGGGTAATGCAGTCAGATGGATAAGATCCACGGCTGTTGAGAACCAGCGAGCCTCTTGCTGACTTATTTTAAACAATGTATAAGCCTGGCCTTGTTGGAGGAAAGCTGCAAGTCACATCCCGTAAGCTGTGCCCATGGAGAATCTTTGTTTAAGTTTCCTGAGTGCTTCTAAATTCATTTTCCATAGCCAGACAGTACAATCCTTACTACTGGCAAATATGCAACAGATGGTCACCACAGTTAAAACATCCATTTCCATTCCTGTCCAGCTCTAATTCCACAATATTGACTCATGTATATTCACATAAATTAAACTTTCTGTATCTATAACTGAACTCAATTACCTATAATGACAGACATAGCTAGGGGAGGGAAAAAAAATATGTTTAATCTTGCAATATA